AAGTGTGTATTTAGTTTAAACACAGAAAAACAAACTTTCGTAGTCTTGTTTAAACACAGAAAAAAACAAACTTTCCGAGTCCCGGGTAGGCGCAATTCGCATGGCTTCTTTATCTGTGTTGGAAATTTGTGTCGTTTTCGCGTTATATCATTTTAGTTTTCCTCGCTTTTTGCCTTTCTATAGCGATTTCGTGTGGCTCCTTCATGTTGAAAACTATTTGTTTGATTTTCGGTTGTACCTCATTTTCATTTTTCTTCGCTCTTGACTCCCCTGAAGCGATTTCGTGTAGCCTCTTCGTTCGTGTTGGAAAAGCCGTTTTTGGTGTAATTTTCAGCTATACAGTATTTACTTGCTTTTCTTCCTTTTTAACCCCTTGAAGCGATTTCGTGCAGCTCTTCTTCTTCTTGTAGGAAAGACAAGCTCCACTTTTCTTCGCTTTTACCTTCCTGAAGGGATTTCGTGTGGCTTCTTCCTTCACGCTGATGAAATGTTTGTGCTTAATTGTCGGTTGTACCTCATTTACTTTCTTCTTCGCTCTTAACCCCCCTGAAGCGATTTCGTGTAGCCTCTTCGTTCGTGTTGGAAAATTTCAACCCCCTGAAACGATTTCGTGCGGCTTGTCTTCTTCTTGTAGGAAAGACGAGCTCCACTTTTCCTCTCTTTTTACATTTCTAGAGCAATTTCGCGTGGCTTCTTCCTTCATGTTGATGAAATGTTGTGGTTGAATTTTCGGTTGTACCTCGTGTACTTTCTTCTTCGCTCTTCACCCCCTGAAGCGATTTCGTGCGGCCTCTTCGATCGTGTTGGAAAAGATGTTCGCTTTGGACTTCCTGAAACGATTTCGTGAGGCTCTTCATCTTTTGTAAAAATGACAAGCTCCACTTTTTTTTAGCTTTGTACCTTTCTAAAGCGGTTTTGTGTGGCTTCTTCCTTCATATTGATGAAATGTTGTTGATTATTTACTATTTTCTTCGCATTTAGCCCACCTAAAGCGGTTTTATGTGGCCTCTTCGTTTGTGTTGGAAAAGACGTTTTTGTGTAATTTTCTGCTATACAATGTTGAATCTTTTTCGCTTCTATCCCCCGGAAGCGATTTCGTGTGGCTGAATTCTTCGTGTTGGAGATAACGTTTTCAATTAAGTTTTGGCTATGCAGTATTTACTTTCTTTTCCTCGCTTGTAACTCCCTGAAACGATTTCGTGCGGCTAATCCTTGTAGGCAAGACAGCCTCCACCTTCCGAGAGTGTTCATCTTCCCTCGGAGTTTGTTTGGAGTGTGTTTTTCCTAGGAAAAACAAACCCTTCCCCCCAGAGTTTGTTTTCTGTAGGAAACACAACACCCTCCCCCCAGAGTTTTTTGGGGTTGGAAAAACAAACCCCCCTGCACCCCCGCGCCGCCCAAACCACTCCCCCTAGCATCTCTGAAACAAACAAACTTCTCCCATCGGAGTTTGTTTTTCACCGCTGAAACAAACTCGTCGGCCCCCCAAACCACTCCTCCTAGCGTCACTGAAACAAACAAACTTCTCCCAGCGGAGTTTGTTTTTCACCGCTGAAACAAACTCGTCGGCCCCCCAAACCACTCCTCCTAGCGTCACTTAAACAAACAAACCTCTCACATTGGAGTTTGTTTTTCACCGCTGAAACAAACTCACCTGGTCAGAGTTTGTTTGTACCCGCTGAAACAAACTCGTCGAGACGGAGTTTCAGGTTTGTTTGTTTTCCTCTCCTCCCCAACCTGGCTCTTCGCGCCAACCAAAGATGATCCGCAAACGTTTGTTTTCTTCCGGCGAAACAAACTCAACCCCTCCTCGGGTGTTTGTTCCTTTTTGCGGAAAACACAAACTCGCCTGCCCCCCCCCCCCCCCCTAGAGTTTGCTTTTCCTAGTGAAAACAAACCCCTCCCCCCAGGGTTTGTTTTCTGTAGGAATCTCAAACCCCTCCCCCAAAGTTTGTTTTTTGTAGGAAAAACAAACCCATCCCCCCAGAGTTTGTTTTTTGTAGGAAAAAACAAACTCGCCTTCGGAGTATGTTTTCCCAGTGAAAACAAACCCCTCCCCCCAGAGTTTGTTTTTGTAGGAAAAAACAAACCCGAAGCACAATAATCCGCGTGTTTGTGGTTGAGTGAGTCTTCGTGGTTGAGGTAGCACGCTTGTCTGTAGTTGGAGCGACTCTTGGTGTATGGGTTGAACGAAGCAGTTGTTTGGGTTGAAGAATTATTCCCGGGGCCATGGTTGAGTGAATCTGCGTGCTGGGGTTGAAAGAATCAGGTTGTGTATGGGTTGAACGAAGCAGTTGTTTGGGTTGAAGGAATCATTCCCGGGGCCACGGTTGAGCGAATCTGCGTGCTGAGGTTGAAAGAATCAGGTTTTGGGGTTGAAGGAATCCGCGGTTTCGGGTTGACAGAATCCGCGGGCAGAAGTTGAAAGAATAATCGGCGAAAAGTTGAAGGAATCTGCGCGCGACCCTTTGTAACACGTGAAGATGTTGCTTTCGCCATATCTTCAGTGAGTGGCTCTGTTTTCCTCAACAGGCTGGACATGCCACAGCTGCCTGTGTGATTGTCGAGACTCCGTCGTCCTGGTTTCGGTGCTTCTCCAGGATCGTCTCTCTTGTTATGGTTTCGGAAAGGCCCTACGGGTTTGCACATCGGGCCGTATTTCTGAGATACAATCATGGCCTGCGTTTCTCGGAGACGTCAGCAAAGAAGCTGATGTTGCAGTTGGTGTCGTCACCTCGCAACCTTTGTGGGGCTGCGTAAATCCAACTGAGCGAAGGCGCGCGACCATCCGAACCCGTCAGACACAGTTTGCCCACAACTCTCGTGCACTTCGTGCTTCTTTTTGTGCGTTCCTTTCGATGCTTCCTTCCTGCGCGGCAGATTCTGGACGAGCGGCCGAAGAGTTTGACGGCCTATGCAGACTATGTCAAGGCACCGCTCAAACCGTGGAGGGAGGGAGCACAGCACACAGGGAGCGGAGAGAGTTGCCCTGCTGCTCGGAACAATGAAGACCAATCCGGCATTCCGAGTTGGCACCTGCTCACAGACATCTGAGGAGCATGAGTGGCCCTTCTAGCTAGCTGACTAGCGACTAGCCTTGAACCGCTTAAGATTCCCTGTCCCGCCTCCCGCGCTTGGATGGGCCGGCGGCGGCTCGCCGGCGGTGTGCTGGTGCTGAGCCTAGGAGGCAGCTTGGCCTGGGTCGGGGTTGCGGTCGGCGGGGGGGGCGTGTGTCTAATTTTCGCCGATGTGTTCACACAGATCGTCAGTTGGACGACTGCCTAGGGCCTAGCAACGTCGAACGAGTTCCGACTCGAGGTGGGATCCACGATGGAGGCAGAGTAGGAGCTACCTTTCGGGTTGCCATCGGGGAGGTTCCCGTGGCGGTTCCGGACGGAGTCAATTTCCTGCACATCCCCTGTCGAACTTGGTAGCTTCGCGGAACATCGGCTCACAACAGCCCCAAAGCTGATTCGCCCGGTCTGCTCTTGTTCGAGGCTTCGCATTGAAAGGTTGGATGGAGCCTTCAGAAGCAAGGAGCAAAGGGGAGCCCGGAGGTAAAGATGGAGAGGCGGCTTTGGCCATCCTTTGACTTCTTTGGACCCTGTCCCTGCAGGAGCGCTGCGCAGGCGCTGCTGGCGGGCAAAGTTTGGAGCGTCAGGCGGAAGTGGGAGCTGCTCGGCAGCTGCTCGTCCTTGTGATTGGATTCCGCCAACGGCGCACGGTTCGGCAAAAGGCCCTTGGGTGTGCTGCAGTGCTGCACGGCAATTACTGCACGCGAGGCTACTCTGTGGAGAGAACGGAGGAGATCCTTGCAGCTCAGCTGAACGGAGCCAGAGCCAGAGGACGGAGCCCATCTCCAGCCCCCAAAAGAGGAGAAGGAGCTCTTCTCTTCTTCTCTTCCTCTTTGGCTCTTTGGCTCTTCCTTCTGGCCCTCACAGAAGGCCAGCTTCCGCCTGGGGGCGTCTCTGGCAGAGCGCTGCGGCCTTGAGAAAGCGGAAGGCGGGGCCGCTCTGTAGAGGAACCGTGCCGCGTATCATGTCGCCGATGGGTTTGCAGACTGCACCAGGACAAAGCTGGCTGGACGCCGTCCGCTTGCTGCGAAAGCAGTCGGAGGCACCGCTCCTAGCTAGATGATTCGCTAGATCGCTACCCCCTTGACGGAGAGAAAGGGTCCGTATGCGTGCAGAACGTGCTTCTGCCAGAAGAGCCTTCCAGAGGCTGCACACATTCTCCGTTTTGCATCGCACCACACAACTCCCAGCGGTAACGGCTAACGAGTGCAGGAATTGGAGGAAAGCCCGGCAGCGCTTTGGCAACGGGCTGCTGGGACTTGGTCCCCTTGTGTCTTGAGATCTGACTTTCTGCCGGGTCCATGTTGCACCGCTTCGCATCTGTCAGACAGCTATAGCAAGTCACTGGCTTGGAAGCATGAGTCATCTACGAGGGTACCCGACTGATGCGCTGAAACCCCCAAGAGCCCACAAGTCTTGCACCTGCATGTGACAGAGGTTGAGCGGCATCCGATTGCTGAGTATGTCCATGTCCAGTGCCAGAGTCACCTTGGCTTTGGTTGTCATTCTGTGCTGCAGCAAGTTGACCGTAGATCTCAGTAGTTCGGTGCAACCTTTGTGCGAAGCTGTGCCTCACATCTCAGATCCTTGAAGGGAGTCGGAGGCGTGGGCTCCGGGAACCAGTCCAGGTTGTGGGCACCTCATTCCGGACAGCTTTCCTGCCGAGGAGGACCGCAGCTCTTTGTTCCAGGAAGAGGACGCACTACAAGAGGAAGGTAGACCGGGCCAGCCACAGGAGCCCAACTTATCCGAGGAGGAGCCGCAACCAGAAGAGAGGTGCGATGCTGCCACGGGGAATGCCAATGCCCCCAGCGCGTTTGTTTCCAAGACGCCGTTGTTGGCGTCGGAGACACAGCAAACTGCAATCATGACAAAGTTTCATGTTGGACAGCCGCGTTTAGTTTGGTGCGTGTCACTAGCAGCTGGCACTGGTCGCAGACTTCGGATGAACGGGGACCGTTTTTACAACGCCTCGCAGCCTCTGCTGGCATCCGCTTGCCTCAACCCTGGAAGCGTAGCGGCGTGGCGGCGCTGTGCGGCGAAGCGCCTCGGGCGGATCATGCTCGCGGTGGTCGAAGCCTCCTAGCACAACTCTGCGTTGGGCCTCGGGCGCGCTTAATGCGCTTTTGAGGAGGGCTGAAGTCACGCCAGATGAGAGAGGGAACGTGGCGCGGATGCTCGGAACCTCGGTTGACCTGTTGAACGTTGGCTAGCGGCTAGCAACGTTTTCAAGGGATATCGTGCGGAACCTGAACCCTTGGCAGGTGATTCAGGGATCCAGAATCTAGATGTTTTGGTTGATCTCTTCCTTCCTGGAGCGGTTCCTTGTGTGGCTGGGACACACTTCGCTGCCTACGACAGCCACAACAAGACTAAACCGACTGAATGCGGCATCAAAGCACACCGCGCAGTGTTTTTGCCCATGCTGCAGATTGTGAGATGCACCGAAACTTGAGCCATGTCATCATCACGTGGCCAGGCCTTTCGTGCGGGCCGGATGGTTTCGTGGGCCGCGAGGGGCCGTGGTCTTCGTCTTCCGCTCCTTGTTTTCAAGGGCTGCTTGAGGCAGAGCTAAGCAGTAAGCAGCGCAGCTTATCTATAGAGCGTCTTTGCTTTGGGGTCCCGGCGTCCCGTCCCGGTCCTGAGCCGAAGGCTGCCCGGACTGCGGCTCGGTCTCGCGCTGGTTCCGCTCAACGCACCCGGAGGCCGGAGCCGGCCTTCCTCTTGCGCCAAGCAGAGACTCTCTGCATGTCTCTGCTTTCTGCGTCCGGTAGGGTTTTTGGAAGCTACCGTAGCTTCGAGATCCTTCCTCGGGCAAACGTTCGACAGAGTGTCATGCTGAAAGCGTCGGCGTAGGGGCAACGAGGGCTCGGGATGGGCTCGGGCTAGGGCTCGGGATCAGGACCCTCGGACGTGTTTCAGCGCAGGTGTCGTTGAACCCAAATCGATGGGGCCGTCTCTGCGGCGAGCAGGAGGAGCTTCCGCACCGAAACCTGCATGGACTCTGGTGCTCTGCAGGGTTTTGGGTCCGGGACTCGGGACCTCCGCTACAAGAACCATCTCCACCCACACGAGCTCTGCTCATAGGATCGCCTTGTTCCGATGTCATTGCCCTTTGGTCGTTTGCACAGTCGCCAGGACTTGAAGGCCTGGCTCGCGCGGTACTTGGGCGTCCGACTGCGAAGCTCTGCGAGAACTAGGGCCACGAGCATACTTTTCAAGCACTTTGGGCCCTGGCCCTCAGCGAATTGGGTCGGCTTTGCTTCGTCAAACTTTCTTCGTGTCATCGGGATGTGAGCGCGTTAGCTCAGTTTCCCTGGTCTTCTCCAAACTTAAGGTGTTTGCCTTCCACTGGACTGGGATGCCCGGCATGCAAGCCGGCACGCTCCGCGTTGAGCAACGTCGGCCTAAGTGTGACCGCTTTGTCAGTTCTCAGTTCTCAGCTCTCCTCAGCTCTCAGCTTCTGAGGATCACGTGTGGACTGAAGTCTTCGATGCGGACTCCTGGCGACCGTTGGCATCTTGGCCGCTAGAAGCTCTCGGCCCTGCAGTAGATACCTAGAACCAAGGATCCGAACTGCTGCTCGGCGGCACCTGTGGGCTTGCTCGATGTAACCGGGGCGATGTAACGGGCTCGGCCGAGAAGTAAGACGCTGATTTGGTGGGCTGCATCGTGAATCCATCCACGTCCCATGTTCATGCAAAGCGGCTTATCGGTGCACACCAGTAATTAGGCGAATTCTTCGTGTAAATCAACAGAACGATGAATCTGTTAAGGTGTGATTTTCTGTCTGAGCGCCCTTTCCGTGGTTCCAGCATCCGTGGCCAGACAAAGCCGTGCTGAGCTCGAACGCGTCTGAGAAGCTCTTACAGCCATATCGTCGGTTGTTTCTCGCACGACGCCCGCGACCGGCGCTCCTCGTGATGACTTGCGGTGGCTTCTGGATGACACGGTCTTGACGAAAAAAGCGCGCCTTTGTGCCGCTGATCGGTCTTTCTGCAGGTGCCCCCGGCATTCGCTTTACAGTGTTACTGATGTGCTGCTGCCAACTTGCTGCACAGCAATCCCTCGTTGCACTCTGTACGGTTGTGACGTGTCGACTGTTCAACGATGCTTTATGACCGGCTAGCTGCGTTTTCTTGCTCGGAATGTCGAAATTGGCTCGAAACAACTCTCTGCTCCATGCGGTGATGGAGTAGGTTCCTGGTGATGGAGTAGGTTCCTGAAGCGTCCTGCCTTCATGCTAAATGTTCGGCTTTGCGCAGCGCTCGTGCGTGTGTAGTGCTGCGAAGCTGATCTTGAAGCGCTCATATTGGATGCTGAAGTAGGTCTTCCAGTCGAGGAGTGATCTGTGAGAAGACGGCTGCAACATACAGACAACACCCTTTTCGAGGGTCAGCTGAAGTTTCGCATGTTTCTGTAGACAGCGGAAGGCCAGAATTTGGATTGTCGCGTAAGTTCCCGTGTGCTTTCGCAAGTTCTCACCATGCCGGCATGGCTGCAAAGCAAAGTGGCTGTGGTGACAACGCAGACACCTTCAGTTGACTTCGAGCCCATTATTGAGGCGTCGACTTTGCAAGACGCCTCAGCGAGGGCATTGGCTCCTGGCTATTCGGCTTCAAGTCGTAACTCGGGTTTAAGTTTCCGTTCTCTTTACAGAATCTGAATCTTTGGCCAAGGACGCGCGTCCTGGCCATTGGCACCCCAGGCAGGAAGGGGTTTGGGGTTCTGAGCGCATTCTGATGTGAGGCTTTGAAGGCAGTGAGTGTTTTTTTGGGATGGTGCCGAGGAAGTGGGGACATGATGGCTGCCACCGAAGAGGCGGTCTCCGGCACGATGGGGTTTGCAAGGCTTTGTCTGCGAACACGTCACACGTCACGGTTGAGGTTGTTCTTGAAACTATCTGACGATGACTCTGGTTAGATGCCTGGTTAGATGGCTTTGGTACCTACGTGGCAAATCTGGGTCCGTAGTTGCACTGCAAAGGTGTCTCTCTCCCGCATAGGCCAGAAGCACTGTGCATCTAGCCATAGGCTCTTGTTCCAAGCTGTTTATTGATGTAGCACCTGATGCAGAGCGTAAGTGTAGCCATCAGCCCCACGCCCAGATGTTTTGAGGTAGGCAACCTTGCGGCAGGTCACCGAAAAGTATCTGCGCATGGCAAAAGGTAGCGACGAGGAGGCGGAAGGAAGACAGGAGTTGATGCCGGTCCAAAGAACTCTGCTCTTCCGAGTGTATCGAAAGTCCTCGTCCCTGTACACTCCATCATTGGCCCGTGACTTGCAGATGGGATTCAAGCAGCAAGAAGGCAGCGAAGCTTTGGACCAAGCCTTGTGCAGGTCAAAGCGTGGCGCCGGCAAATCCACACTGCCAGGGAAGACCCCACGGGGCAGGCAGCTTTCGAGCTTTTGTCAGCTTCGATGGCATCCCACCGTTCATGATTGCTTTCCCGTATCGGTGGATGCTTGCGGCTTGCGCTCCTGAGGGCACGCAGAGCCGCACAAGTCACGGGCACACGCTGCTCTGCGCCGGCCTCGAGGAGAGGAGATTGCGTCGGCTTTCGGAGCCTGGGATCTGCTTGGATATCTGCTTTGCTGCTGTCTCCCCAGCCGTTTCATCGAAGGACCACGAGATCACCGCCGAGCTGCGGGCTGCGCAGCACGCGTTCGATGCAGAAAAAAGACTAGGTAAAGGTCTTCAACAGTGGCAGATAGACTTGGTCAAACTGAAATGCTTTAGCGGATTTGAGTACACAAGGCTTCTTCCTCCATGGTGCGCATTTTCGCAGAGGCCTTCAACGACATCAAGAACCAGGAAGCTCAGATGGAGGAAATGAGAGAGGAGGCAGAGGAATTCTGCCATTTTGTATTCGGATGATGGCTGAGTGCTTTCCTTTCGGCTGCTTGCTTGGCGTCCGTTCGGACTTCCCATCTACGCAGTCCTCGGAGCACTGCTTGCTCAAGCTACTCCAAAGTGAAGCACGGGAGAACAGAATCCGCGAATGCTGTCCAGCTGAACGGTAAGTGTTGCGATTGCACGAGCGTTGCTAAACTCAGCATGGAAAGAGTCTGTAGGCTACATGTTACGGATCAATACTCCGACTGCAATCACACTCCAAAGGAGAGATTCTATCTACCTGCAGGTGGAGTCCATGTACCAGCTACTCCGGCAGTACAACGTGCGCGTCAGTGGAGACGTTCCTAACCCAGGCAGTGTAGGGCTGGCCCTGCAATTGAGCAAGCTTGCAGTGGAGCCAGGAGCCACACGATACTCCGGCTGCCTTTCATACCACGCTGCACGAGACGGCGCACTAAGGACACAGTGCAGATGGAGTTCCTGCAGACCAAGGGCTCGGACTTTGCCGATCGCAAGCTCATCGAGGTGTCGAGCAGAGAATGCAGCTTATTCACGCCTTCATGCTGTGCCGTAACGTTTTAGATGCGTAGTGGACCTCAAGACCTGGATTGAGACTTGCTGAGAGGGCAACGCCTACATTCGGGAGAAGACCGACGAGATGGTCGAGAGCTTGAACGGTGTTGGAGCCCCAGTTCGCAGTTCGCAGGCTCTCGAAACGAGATCCTGAACCCCAAAGCATCGAAAAGCCGCCGGAGCCGGTGAAATTTTTCAGGTCTCGCAGCTCGCGGAGGAGGAGGCGAAGAAGCTCACGGAGCAGTTCAGTGGCTGCAGACAGGTAGACGTGGGTTGTGCAGTTGCAGTTCGCGAGCGTGTGAGCAAAAACGCAGGAGCACTGCGAGCCTAAGCAGTAGTGGTGTCGGAAATCCTGAGCAGTCAGTGGCTGCGTGGGATGTGGGATGACGCGAAACTCCTCCGAGGTTGCGCTCCGGCAGCTTCGTCTCGCAGGAGCGAGCAGAGCTCTCAAAGTCTCCTGGCGATTTCGTCTGTCTGTCGCATTGAAACTCCAAGCTTGAGCAGAACCGCTGAGCCGCTGAGCCGCCCCCCCTTGCTCTCTCTCTCTCTCTCTCTCTCTCTCTCTCTCTAAGCACCACGGCTCAGACCGGCTCTACAAGCAGAGCTTTGTATATACAGCCGGGTGCCGCATGACATGGCGTCGTTTTCACATGCTGCTGTCGATGATGAGTCTAGTGGCAAATGCGCTGAATTCTCTGCCGGTACTGACAGGACCTCCGAATCGATCCGCACCCCCAACAAAATTATCTCCGAGTGGTTGGGACCCGACTCAGGACCCGATTCAGGAACTGCAACCGGCCCCGCAAGGGAGTCCGCTTCGGAAAGGAGCTCAGTCATTGATCAGGACACGTGTGCTATGGACTGCTCTGCCGACACACCCGTGGAGTGCATTGCACTCTCCAAGCTGGGACCTACACCGAAACGCAAGGCGCGCCGCAGAACCTCCGTACTTAGGTCCCAGGATCTTCTCGCAGCGCAAGCGCTGGCACAAGCACAGCGCAGGCACGATGCCACTTACGCCCCCTTTCAGGGCGCCGTGCAGGTTACGTTCCTGGCTCAGAACTCTGAGAGCGCTTCTGCACTGGACCTGCACTCCATGGATTGAGCATGTGAATCATGCCGGCGGCCCCGGCACTGGGAGCCAGCATTGCCTTCTTGACTTCGATGACAGCTGCGAGCGCGCCGCTCGCGGGAGCTTTAACGATGCTCTCCACCAACGGCTCCCTCAGCGGATGCCGGTCCGAGCCGAGCCCGGTCCCAAGTCCGGGCCTCGATTTCAGATTGCCCATCACCATCCCGTTGGTCAGGCGAGGGGTGCGAGGGTTGCTGGATACCTTGCCTCAGGTCCAGCAGGAACGGCTTATTCAGTCCTCCTAGTGCTATCACACACTAGTGCGAAGCCACGAGGTAGGCGATCTTCTTTTTCACCGTGCATCGTTGCAGCCTCAACATGCTGTACTGGCAATGCAGATCGCGATACTCAGGTCATTCAGGTCATTCTGGCTCGTCTTCTTGTACCACCTTCTTGTCTCGCCGGCCCTTCTTGGGGACCGCCTGTTTCATTACTTTGCTGCTTGTGCAGTCCCAACACTACCCCTGCGAGACAGCTGCTCAAGCCAGGGACCCGCCTTCGATCCAACACGTAGGGAAGCATGGGAGCCACGGTCCGACGTAGAGCCTCTGCTGGCAAGATCAGACCCGCGTTTGGCCTGCACCTAGCGGTATTCCCTTGCACGCTCGTGGTCAGTCTTTTGGCTTTCAGATTTGCGGGACTTTACGTTCTTTGCGTGCCTCTAACCCTAAGGCCTCCGATCCTCACCCTGGCCTCCCTGCTTAGGCTCACTACCCGTCATCTTACGGGCGATCAACCTGGGCACCTCCACTTCCCAGTGCACCTTACATCTCAGACCCCCCTTCAGAGCCACCAGCATGCACTACTAAGTTTTACTGGATGGGACACGCCTGCCATGGGAAAACGCGTTGGACCGAGATCTAGGTGGAGGCCCGATGGTAGAAGAAGACGCACCCAGAAGGAGATTGCCAAAAGGAAAGCGAAAGCCGCCGAAAGGGCAGCGGCTCGAGACCAGGCCCAGACAGACGCCGAAGAGGAAGAGGAGTCTGCTCCGAACGGCCCCGCCCAGTACCCACAGGGGGCCCCTACCGCTCCCGATCACCAGTGCGACCTGGCAACCAGAGGCATGCTGCGAGAGCCAGCGTTCCCAGGCGTCCGGATCCAGCTCTGTCACAGCTGCAACGGCCCCTCGACGGGAGCCGCCGCGAGAAGTCTGGACTCAGAGGAGCGATCGCAGATACTGCGACATTCGGGACAGCGGTCCGGGCTGCGGGTGCGAGAAGACGGCTACGCTTCCGTCAAGGAAGTATTGCAGCACCCGCGTCTCCGCGATGCGGGTGCCACGTTGGCTGACGTTCAGGTGGCAGTGAGAGACAACGAGAAACAGCGTTTCCAACTGTCCCACCAAGGGGACGAGCTTCTCATCAGAGCCACCCAAGGGCACTCGATGCAGGTCCGCGACGACCTCCTTCTGACTCGGATCACGGCCCCTGAGGAGGTGCCGCTGGCGGTTCATGGGACGTACCTTCGTCACTATGCCTCGATATATCAGCAAGGCCTGAGAGCGGGAGGAGATCGAGGGCAGAGAGCCAGGAAGCATGTGCATTTCGCCATGGCTCTGCCGAGAGATCAACACCGGGCCACCTGAAGGACGTAGAAGTCCTCTTGTATCTGGATATTCCGCGTGCCCTTCGTGACGGTATGCGTCTGTATGTCAGTACAAACTCGGTCGTGCTGTCGGAAGGCTTCAATGGCTGCGTTCCCCTCGACTATGTGGCGAAGGTCCAGTACATGTATCGGCATGGTGCTTATGACGTCACCGCGGACCCGGTTCCGTCGCCGGGACGGCTAAAAGCCGCCTTTGCGGGGGGTTGGTGTTTCACCTCGGGAGGGAGGTCGCGGCCACTCTCCGGCCCCGGAACGGGTGCCGAAATCCAGGCGGCATTCGAGAAAATCTCGCTTCGGCCCATGCTTAGTCCTGCCCTCTTTGGTAAGGCCACATGTGATCTTCTCTGTCTTTGATCTTGCTCAGGTCCTTTCCCACCCGACTCGCCGCCATCAGGCTCCTACCTCGGCTGCACGACACCAGTGGTTTGCGCCTTCGCCTCTTCTTTTTGAGGGACCTTTATCACCCCACCCACGGCATTGGCAGGCTCGGCCTCTACTTGAGAGCCGCCGCCACTCCAGACGCAGCTCTCGCAAGGAGCGATCCTCTCAGTCTCTTTTTTGCACGTTCTTGCTTGATTGCTCCTGGTGCATGCGCTCTCAGCCGACATGGTCTGTTGGTCTGCTGCAGCATCTTTCCGTCATGTTTCGCCCGGGAGGCGGACCTAGGCAACACTATAGGCCCGACGGCTCCCGGCGCCGGACGGCCGGCGAGCTCGCCAAACGAGCCGCACGGGCGGCCGCCAAAGCCGGCAACGATCCAGGCAATGCCGATGGAGCGGCGACAGGTGCAGCTGGTTCAGCAGGTGCTACAGCAGCCGCTCCGGAACAACCGAAGGGGCAGTTGAAGGGGCCATGGACGGGGCAGCCGCTGATCATGAGCACAGGTACGGCTCCACCGAAAAAGGCGCAGTCCGACGGCCCCACCTTGGGAGCCGGCGCCGCAGCCACAGCCACTACAGCCACTACATCCACGACGTCAGACATTGGCTGTCCACCTCCGCCCGCACCAAAGAAGATGGAATGGGTACCCAAACGCTCCAAAGCCCCACCACCAGGCATTACTGTCAACCTGGGCGAAGCCACAGCGAATTCGGAGGAGACCGCACCGAAGCCAGCTTCTCCGGCCAAAAGGTCGGCGCCAATGTCGACGACCGCTCCGACCACAGCTCCGATGTTCACTCAGGCGGTCCCCAGTGGGGAGCCGGCCTCGACATCCGCGGCATCCACCCCGACCTTGACGACAGATGCCTGTCAGCCGAAGAAGAAGCGTCGGAGCAAGATGGTGCCGCCGCCCAGCACCACGCCTGCTCTCGATGAGATGCAGCACAAATGGGACTTGCTGCAGCGGGTTCACACGGCGGCAGTCGAGCTTCAGGACGCTGAAGTGCCTTACCTTCTGCACCTGTACCAATCAGCAGGCGGGTACACGGCAAGGCACAATGACTTTCACAACATGCGAGACCGACTCATGCACGAAGGCATCGTCGGCCCCTACGGGGTGCCGCTTCCCTTGCCGCCTGTCGGCAACTACATCTTGAGTCTGGGGGTGAGCGGTGAGCGTTATCGGTTTGCAGAACAGCGGCTACCTCACGCACATCAGTAACTCGAGCACGTTCGGGGACTTGATTGAAGCCTGGTCGCTAACTTTATGGGAAAGTTCCCGACGTGATCTACTCGAACAACTTGGTGAGCTCTTTTCGTTATTGCACTGTCTGGTCAGCAACATACCCCGCCGTATCTACGATTCCCTCCCGTGGCGAATCACGCTCGATCAACTGACCATGGTGTTCCGGACGTGGCTCGGCACTCCGTCCCAGGCTGCTCTTGCCCTCACCGATCAAGATGCTGCTGTTCCAGACCCACCTGATCTACATGGCCGGCTTTTCCGAGCGATCCCTCTCACCGCGTAGCGGCCCCCTCTCGGGGAGCCGGCCCACTGCAATGGCGGAAGACCGTCTGCAGCAGTACACTTTTTCCGCGGAGCTGGTACGTTTTCGATCCCACAGGCTATTCTGGACCGGGATCGCGCCTTCTCACCAGACTCGGGGGACGAATCGCAACCAGAGCAAGCATATATGCCTTCGAGCTCTCCTGCAAGTGATGTGCCAGGTCACTGCCTTCAGTTGTTGTCTGTACTTACATCAGCCATCACTTGTAGCCGGCAGCTGCTATACGTGTTGTACCTGCTGTGCCGTTGGATTCTCCTTGTTGCATTCGGGCCTTCGCTTCACCCCAATCTTCTCTCAGGTCCGGGCACTACTTCCTGTGGCAGGGGTCGCCTTCTCAGTTGCCAGCGCAACCCCAAGGTCCGAGCATCCGGCGCACAGGTTCACATCTTCACACGAATTTGAATGTTTATGCTCCTTTGTTTTTGCTTGACCCTCGGCTTGGCAAAGGGCGACCCTGGTTCTCCCCGCTCCCCCAGGCCATCTCTGCTACTCCGCACGAGGGCCACACTGACAATCCTGCATCAGTTACTGCAGGACACCAATGCCCAAGACCCCGAGCTGCGGTTCGCAAACGCGCTTTACGCCGAGCCATAGGGCGTGCAACTCGGAATCCTACCCACACCACCACGTATCGTGGTCGGA